TTAAAGGGATTGTTTCACAGGACCTACGATCCTATTTAATCATGTATTTTTTTTTTAAGATTTTATTTATTTATTTGACAGACAGAGATCACAAGTAGGCAGAAAGGCAGACAGAGAGAGAGAGAGGAGGAAGCAGGCTCCCTGTGGAGCAGAGAGCCCGATGTGGGGCTCGATCCCAGGACCCTGGGATCATGACCTGAGCCGAAGGCAGAGGCTTTAACCCACTGAGCCAGCCAGGCGCCCCTTTAATCATGTATTTTAAAAGCTTTTAATATGTTTGGCAAAATTCCCCAAAATCACATCCTAAATGAAGTCTTTTGGACCTGGAACTTTGATTGGTTCCAGAGGGTCGCTGAAACATCTCAAAAGATTTGTTCTAGCTCCTTATAAAAAAAGAAATGTCAAACTAATTAGGTTTATTTGATATGTCAAATTATATAGAAAACCTTGCTAAATAAGTAATATTTAACCTTCCTGGGTTATATTTGTATGAAGGATGTTATTAATATGTGTTCCAGAAATTGTATAAAATTTCTTAAAATTTGATATAGTCTGGTAGAATGTCATCAGTCATAATCCGTTATCATCTTAAAATATGTGTCACAGAAATAACCAAATAGCCTTGTCAACTGCATTAGAAATGAACTGATCAAATCTTTAACCATGGCCATTTTAAGTCTTTTTCATTTATAGACAGTTATTTTTTTGAACTGATGCTTTCATGAAAGCTTTTCCAAGCTGCTATGATCCAAAAATGCTTGTCTTCAAAAAGATTCATGGAAAGAATTCTGGCAAGTACTCTAGAATACAGGTTTCTGACAACTTTAAGATCATACTAGGGAAGAATTTTCAGAATTCCATGGAAAAAACTGACAGATTCATAAAACTACTAACCCATAATCAAGAAAAACAAGAAATTAAATGGGACTGAATAAACTGATGAGAATCATTGTAATTTTTGAGTTTTTGTTTGAAACACTATTGGTTCTTTAACATTTTGTTTAAAAGATTTAAGGAGTGCTTGGGTGGCTCAATTGGTTAAGCATCTCTTTCAGCTCAAGTCGTGATCTCAGGGTCCTGGGATCCAGCCCCAAGTAGGGCTTCCCGCTCCACTGGGAGCTTGCTTCTCCCTCTCCCCCACCCCTATTCATGCTGTGTCAAATAAATACATAAAATCTTTTTTAAAAAATTTAAAAAAATAAAAGATTTAAGGAAACCTTTTCTCTTAAGCTTTCTATAACTTACAACAATTTGGAAAAGTGTACCTGTATAAACAAAATTAAACATTTGTCTTTTTCTCCTTACCTAATTCCTCCCAGAAATCCTTAGGATGTTTAGTCTCATGGCAATGTGGTTATTTGTATAAGTTCAATATGAATCTGTTCTCCCTGTAACAAGACACAACTTGAAATACTGGCTATACTGCCAAAGTTTTGACTGACATTTCAGTCAAATGTCAGAGAAGGATGGGTATAATATCCGATATGACCAGACAACTTTAAGACTAAGATTGACTATATAGAGCCTATAATACCCCTTCAAAAAAAAAAAAAGCTCAACTGTATCTTGCTTTCAGGGTTCTCAGTCTTATCAGGGGATTAAGGAAGAGGTCAATTCCTGGCAGGCCCAAGAACCTCAGAATCTCCTAGAGACCTCTAGAAGAGAGAAGAGAGGAATTCACCCAAATCTAAAGGTATTGCAGGCAAAGTCTAATGGTGAATCCTTGGCTTGGCGTCCTGGCCTTAAGAAGCTTTTAAAAGTCCACTCAGAGATTACTTTTGAAAAGCTGCAGCAAGGCAGACTTCAAAAAAGCCTATATGGCTAATCACTATTCTTACATAAATAATCAAACCAAGTTTAATGAAACTAGACTGATCTTGCATGCAAATGAGTCATATTGTTTACCTTTGGTAGAAATGGAGATGACTGTAGAGAAATAAAATTATGTTTCAGTAGCCCATTATTGTGGATATTAGATTCTAGTCCAATTTATTGTCTCTGAGGTTTTGTTATCTACCTATGAACTGGACTGGATCCTGAATTCCTCTATTTTCCTCCACTATCTTGCTATGACTATCCAAACTAACATTTCCAACTTTCTCCCGTCCTTCCGACTTGGAATCACTAAAAACAAAAACTGCCCTTTTGCTAAAGCCCTGTAAGCTGAAGCTGGACAACTGGATACAAGTTGTGATACAAGTGACCCTGGAGGCAAGGATTAATTCTTGTGTGGTGATGTAACTTATTTCAGATTTTATTAATAATTGTATATTTGAATTTGCCTTTCTGGTCCATGTTTGATCCTAGTAATAAATCTTTGAGGTAGTATAGACAAATTCCTCAAATAACCATAGTAAAATGCAAATTAACAAATATTTAAAGTTATAAATTATTTATAAAAATAAATATTTTATAAATATTTTACAAATATGTTATATTTATATTTTATGTTTTGTACTTATATTATTATATATTATATAATATATAATGTATTTTATTCATATATGTTTATATTATAAATAATTTATAAAAATAAATTTATAAAAATAAATTAACAAATAATTAAAATTGTAAAGCTCAGCATAAAAGGAAAAGAATATTTTGGACTAATGGTAGACTTCAGAAAACTTTATAAGAAGGTGTCAACTTCTAATTATATACAAAATAAGTAAGTCCTAGGGGTACAACATGGTGACTATAGTTAATAATACCATATTATATATTTGAAAGTTACTAAGAGAGTAGATCTTAAAAGTTCTTATCAGAAGAAAAAAAATGTGTTAACTGTGTGGTGATGAAGGTTAACAAGACTTACTATGGTGATCATTCTACAATATATACAAATATCAAATCATATGTTGTACAACTGAAACTAATATAATGTTATACATCAATTATATCTTAATAAGAAATGTTTTTAAAAAGAGGTGGTATTGGGGCGCCTGGGTGGCTCAGTGGGTTAAAGCCTCTGCCTTCAGCTCAGGTCATGATCTCAGGGTCCAGCAATCAAGCCCCGTGTTGGGCTCTCTGCTCAGCGGGGAGCCTGCTTCCCCTTCTCTCTCTGCCTGTCTCTCTACCTGTGATCTCTGTCTGTCAAATAAATAAATAGAATCTTAAAAAAAAAAAAAAAAGAGGTGGTATGTAAGGCATTAAAGAATAAGTAGAATCAGGGTGCCTGGGTGGCTCAGTTGGTTAAGTGTTTACCTTCAAATACTAAACTCCAGGGATGGAGCCCCACATAGGGCTCCTTGCTCAGAAGGGAGCCTGCTTCTTCCTCTCCCTCTGCTTGCTGCTCCCCATGCTTGTGCACACGGTCTCTCTCTCTCTCTCTCCCTGTCTCTGTCAAATAAATTAATAAAATCTTAATTTAAAAAAAAAGAATAAGAATCTCAACAAAGATGGTAAGGAAGATCCTTGTAGAAGAAAGGATGCAAGCAAAGACCAAGGCAGTAGGCACACAGCATGTTCAGAAATAACATTTCCAAGTAACTACAGCAGCTTAGCTAAAAAAAAAAAAAAAAAAAAAAAAAAAAAAAAAAAA